ATACACTGCAGTTTCATCTCAACACAACTATAGTTAATTTCAATTCAATTGCAGTTTCATTTGATAATATAAAAATAATACGTGAGGCAGTGTTAGTTTAGATACACTGTAGTTTCAGTTGGTAATTAACACACCAAAAAATGCGCACTCGATTAACTGTAATGGCGTCGTTTCTTTACTTAAAGAAAGGCGCCGTTTTTAGACCGCGGTCCATAGTATAATTGCTGTAAGATTGAAATGATGGTCATAAGAATAATTTCTGTAAGACTGTCTCATCAGGGGCCTTATAATACTTTTTATATGGCTAATACATTTTAACTAAAAATTATATAACTTTTTACATTGAACGATGTCATATAAAATTTACTCTAATATTTATGGCTAAATCTAAATTTGAAGTTCAAAATTCGATGACTTGAAGTAGAGAGTCATTGACTCACTTGATAAAGCTCCTTAATTAGTTAAAATCTTTGCCTCCATAAATAAAATTTTGGGCTAAATCTAAATTTGTACACATGATCGAATGTATCTATATTTTTAGAATATATCTAAATCTACTATATACTAATAAGAGTCTAAGAGAGTTAGGCGGGTAAAAAAAATGACGGTCAAAATTTTTAATCAAATGAATAACTCAGATTAATCATATTTTAATTTTTCCTTAAGATTCCCTAATTTATCCTTAATAAATATGATTATCCATTAACTTTTCCATTAAATATTATCTTTTCCGCTAATTTCTGTTAGTTCACTGTTAACTTACTCATTGATTTCAATAAAAAAGTTCTTAGGTTTGAACCTCATCCCAATCAAAGTTGGCATAATTAGTAATCTATTTACTTGTATTAAATAATAATTTAGTAGCTACAACAAAAAATAATACATATGCATTTCCAGGGCTAGTCGTATCATTTTATAGGCCCGGGACAAAATAAAAACAAGGGCCCTATATGAAGTTAAAAGATTGTATGAGTTAATTGAAAACAATTAAATGATAATTTTGAATTTTTATAAATATATAATTTTTTTTATTAAAAAAAAACATTTTAGATTAGCTTTGGAGTCAATCATTATTACATAGACCATGATCCACACAATTGTATGGACCATAAATAAAAAGTACATTTTTAATATACTAATGGTACATTATTTATGTACGTAAGGTACATTTTTTGAAAGTACATTTTTAAAATATTAAGGATACATTATTTTATATAATGTATCTTCAATACAAAAATAATGTACTTTTAATATATTAAAAATGTATGTACCTGATATTCATGGTCCATACAATAATTTGCCAAAGGAGTAGTACCCATTCAAACTTTGGACCCTATATGAAGTGTAATTATAAATTAATTCAACATTTGCAAATATATATTACAATGTAGTATCTATTCATAACTACTTTCTCAACCAAATGAAGCTCAAAGAACTTTGGACCCTATATAAAGTGCAATTATAGATTAATTCGACGTTTGCAAATATATATTACAATGTAGTAGCTATTCATAACTATTTTCTCAACCAAATGAAGCACAAAGAGCAAATCACCTCCACTGAGGCTCGAACCCACAACCTCCCCTATGAGGGAACAACTTAATGTCATTGGACAACAAGGTCTTTGACATTAAGTATATTAAAAACTAATAAAATAATTTTGAAATCATTGATTCAAATCTTTACATATGTAAGCATTTTTTTTTTAACTTTATCAAAAAAAAAAAAAAAAAAAAAAAAAAAAAGCCAAACTAGGGGCCCTCCCAACGTTGGGCCCAAGGCGGGTGCCCATCCCGCCCGCCCCTCTGGGCCGGCCCTGTGCATTTCTTTAATTTAGAATTATGTGTCTACCACGTCTTTATTCAAAAAAACTTATTCATTATCAATAAATTAAATAAGAAAAATAATTTCATTAGTTATATTGTTTTTATTTTTTCTCCAATATAAAAATTCTTTACATTCAAATTCATCAATTGATTATATTCGCTACATTGTCTTCACTAAAAAAAATTGTTCATTATCAATAAATTAATTAAGAGAAATAATTTTATTAGTTATATTGTCTTTATATTTCTCCAATGTAAAAATTCTTTACATTCAAATTCATCAATTGATTATATTCACTACATTGTCTATATAATCATTTTTGTGCACTATATTTTAATTAAATATCAAAGTTATAATACAAAATAATGCTATATATTTATTTACCAAGTATTTTATTAATATCATGAAAAAATTTTAAAAATATAATTAATAAAGCCAATCATATTAACTATTTGAGAGATTTGTTGACAAAGAGTATTCAAATCACACAACAAAATGAAGTGAGAACTAGCTCGCAATGTCATTGTTTGACAATCAGTAGTTAGCGGATTATATTAGCGGATTTGATCAGCAAATTATATCAACGGTTGGTAAAAAGATATTTGAAAAAATTTGCTTTTTAGATTAACATGTAAAATGACCTAAGGGTATACATATATTTAATAGTAATAGTAATAATAATAATAATAATAATAATAATAATAATAATAATAATAATAATAATAATAATAATAATAATAATAATAATAATAATAATAATAATAATAATAATAACAATAATAATAATAATAATAATAATAATAATAGTAATTGTTTTTTTTTTTTGGTAAAATAACAATGATTGTTTTAAAAAAATAAAAAAAATAAAAATTATAATTAGCCAATCATATTAACTACTTGGGGGGATTTATTGACTGAAAAGAGTATTAAAATCACACAACAAATTGAAGTGGGAAACTACCTCGCAATGTCCCTGTTTGGCAATCAGCAGTTAGCTCTTCAATATTAGTATATATTTAACATTTTATGCCCTAATTTTTATTTACTCTCCCTTATGTCCCGTATTTGGTTTCATGCAACCATACCTATACAATTATTTTATTGACAATTAGAATCAATCTTGACTATATTATCTTGCATTTGTAAACTTAGAATTACCTATTTAAATACATAAATTCAACATTCGATTATCTATGCATGAACAATTCCAATATAATCTTGCCTTGATATACTTTAAGGTACTTATTTAAAAAAAAAAAAAAAAAAAACATTGGGCATTATCCCAATCGCGCAATGCGCGTAAAAAATTAGTTTTGTAATAATTATAGATTAAATTAAAATTTGAATAATACATTGTTTCAATAAAATTGATTCTAACAATAAATAATAATTAAGTACATTAAAATTATGTTAAAATCTAAATGTATAGTTGAAAACATACTATAACAAAATATATATATTATATATATTATATATATATATATATATATATATATATATATATATATATGACAATACAATAATGCTATAACGCCATTCTTTAATTTCACTTTGCCCCACACAATTATTTTTTCTCATGAACGCCGGTCAACTACTCTCTATAATATTATATTACTACCTCGCCCTGTCTCTTCTTTCTCAACTCCTTGGCTATTCCAAGTAGGTTAGACTCAATATACTCACTCCACTGGGCCGGGTCTAGAGGTATAATCCCAACATCTATACATATATTTACATCATTTAAAAATAAAGATCAGTAGCACATTATATTTAAATTTAAAAAATGAGCAACGTAACATGCTTGGTGTGTGGTTAATTTGATTCATACAATACTTCTAAAAACAATATGCTTGTAAGAGTGTAGGTTTCATTTGAAGCATTTAAAACGGCGGTAATAATTTTGGAGCAACAATGACTTTTAAATAATAACATTTGAAATTATGAGAGTGATAAAATTTGTGTAATTTAGAGAAAATAATAGTTACCTTGAAATGATTATCATAAAAATAAGTCTTGTATTATAGTCTTAATATGAGATCTATAATACTTTTTAGAGGTGCATATACAAAATTACTGCGTACATTTTAACTAAAAAGTATTACTGCTCTAATATTTATGTTAAATTAAAATCAAAACTAATTTGGAGAGCCATTTACTCTCTTCAGTAAAGCTCCTTAATTAGTTAAAAATCTTTTCTGTCCTAAATAAAATTTTGGGTTCGTCCCAGTTTGTACAAATGATCAATGTATCTATATTTTTGGAATATATATAATTATTGTACTAATTTTAAATTAAATAAAAAGTTGAACAATACATTTCCTCAATAAATCATTTAATAATTTAACAAATTAGGATACTAAATTGAATTAATAAAATTAGAAAAAAAAAATAATAAGTTAATTTTTTACTAAATTCATATATCTATTAATATTCACTTGCCATACTCGTCACTCCTATAGAAATATATATATATATATATAGAAGAGCGCTCATATGCGGCGATGTCTTACGGTGCGGCGGTGTGGTCAAATTCCAGAATACACCAACAGTGTTAACAATATGCACCAACAGTGTAATAAAAACACACCCCAATGAAATGTAATAAAACATCACAAAATACACCACAGACTCAAAAAAACACACCATATAACTCACCACCCCCAATGGTGTATTTCCGAACAGTGTATGGTGTTTTTACTCACACCTAATGGTGTGTGTTTGGTGATGCAGGGCTCTGTTTACTCTGTTTTGTGTGGTGTATTTCCTAACGTTGATGGTGCATATTTGGTGAACTATTGGTGTTGCCGCACCGTAAGAAATAACCGCACCGTAAGACACTGCCGCACCTGAACCCGCCTCTATATATATATATATATATATATATATATATATATATATATATATATATATATATATACCCTCACCCATACCCCCATTTTCCTATCACTCTCGTTTTTACAGACATTTTCAATATGAGTAATATTTTCTTAGACCATATTATATATATACTTGACATAGATCTATCGTATATGGATGCATACACTTTACATAGACCATATCGGACTTTGATCATTGTATTTACATATCATTTTAAGTTTTAATGTGTGTTTATGTATCATTTGCTATGAACAGATCAAACAGGCAGGCGTCGGCAGGCAATCGATTTACTGAAGATGGCGATGAACGCTGTGAACAAGAAGGTGGTGGCGTCCATCATGGGAGCCACCGGATCGGGAAAATCGAAGCTGTCTGTCAGCCTCGCCGCCCGCATTGGAGGAGAGATAATCAACTCCGACAAGATTCAGGTTTATAGAGGACTTGACGTTCTGGGTAACAAGATTCCTGAGGTCGAGATGCTTGGCGTGCCTCATCATTTGCGAGGGCATGTTGGGAACCCCGATGAAGAATACACTGCCCCCAACTTTTGCTTCCAGGCCACGTCGGTGATCGAGCAAATGATCAACTCCGGCAAGGTTCCGATCGTCGTCGGAGGGTCAAATTCTTTCATTGAAGCCCTGGTGGAGGACCTTGTCTGCTTCATTTCGCTTGATGTTTCTCCAAATGTTTTGAACACTTTTGTGTCCAAACGAGTTGACCAAATGGTTAATCAAGGTAACTTAAATTCATTTCTAGGTAGAATCGTATATAACTGGTCAGACTAATTTGGTTAACTGGTCTATTTGCATGACTCTATAAAAGAGATCATGAGAGACATAGATTCATCATTCATGCATAATTTTTGTTTGGTGTACTAATTATATGCATGTAGGTCTTGTTGAGCAGGTACGAGGAATCTTTGCTCCGGACAAAGATTACACAAAGGGTATCCGAAGAGCCATTGGAGTTCCTGAAATGGACAAGTATCTGAGAGCTGAAGCCAACAAAGACATGTCCGACGCTGATGAGAAGAAGGCGCTGCTTGAAACCGCCATTGCTGAAATCAAGACCAACACCATAGGCTTAATCCGCCATCAAGTAGGCAAAATCCGGCAGCTCAGGGACGAGTTGGCATGGCCCATTCAACGCATCGATCCCACCACCGTGTTCCAGATCGAAGGTGACAAACAGGCTCAAGAAGCAGCATGGATGAAGATGGTTTTCAACCCCAAGCCAGCTTGAACATCCTGCAACAATACTTTAAAAACAAATGATTAATTTCCTAATATCTTTCAAAATAATTAATTCCCAAAGTAGAGGGAATGTTTAATTTTTACTAGACATGAACATTTTGAGTTTCATTGTGGTGTTTTCTTTGCATTAATCGTGTTTCTATGAATAAAACAACAAGTTAACTTAAATAATATAATTCTTCTCCATATATATAGTACTATGTTTATACATTCTATATTATTATTTATTTCTTTGAAAGATTTGAATGAATGCCAGACGTATTATATATGTGATTCTTTATTATGTTGGAAATTTATATAGTAATGGAGGTAATGTTTCAGATGGCCGGACTACCATGAAAGCTTAAATAATATTTGGAGTTGTGGAGTTATAAATGTTATTTTAGTTTAAATTTGTACAATTCGTTGTTTAACGAATAGGTCAATTCGGATGGCATGGGTATGTATATGCATCAATTCAGGTTGGAGTATTGAATTGTTATGTATATGCGTGTTCTTTATCAATTCGGCTTGATTTTAACAAAACAATGAATGCCTCGTGCTGGACTTCATGGATAATGTACTTTGTACATTCAGGTGGCATGAAGGTAATTAACCTTTCATGTAGTAAGCCATGTTTCGGGTTAAGAAATTGACACACGAATGGATTATATACTTAGCATTCGGGTGGATTAAAATGTACAGTATGTAATATGTTTTATATGCAAACAAAATGCATGAAGGTTCAATATATATATTTGTATATTATATTTTGCAGGGTCAGATGCATGAGATGATATAAATATATATTTTACATAATTATTTACTAGATGTAGATAACTTAAGTGGATACATTTTATTACGAAATGTACATGCATGGTTTAAGTAATTATATTTTCCCATGGCAGAAATATTATTTATGATATATCTTGTGGAAGTTGAAGTTTTAAACTTTTGTAATTTTCATGTAACCTCTTCTAACCGTCAAAATATTTTTATATAAATATGTTGTAGAGACATTTGAAAGATACAAAAAAAAACAAACAGGCAATTGATGGAGGCAATCAACTTGCAGGACACCAAGATATATGTTTCACAGTCCTACAGTTCTACAGGAAATTCTCAAACAAAGCAACTTGAGAATTTCATTCATCTTCTTGTATCCCATAAGATTAAATCTTGAACCTTGTTGCTTTTTTCTGAGGGAGATTTAAATAATGCTTATAGGGAAGTGATTACACGCCTAAAATATCAAATGATCCAGTTTTTGTTCCTGATCTTTTCTGTATTTTTGTTGTATCTCAAATGTGTGAAGATTTAGAAGGAAGAATTTGGGAGAAAGATGTCTAGTTTCTGTATATTTATCATCTATTACAAGAAGAGGAAGAAGGAAGCTATATACATGAAGCTAATAGTCTGCTAACTGAAGAAACAAACTAAGCAAACTAACTGTGAACTTAACTAATTTTGCTGACTTGGCTATCTTGATTTATCTCCTCTAATATCCCCCCGCAAGCTAGATCATACATGTTATGTAGGCCAAGCTTGGACATGAAGGCATTGAAGGTGACTGGAGTGTGTGGCTTAGTGAAGACATCAGCAAGTTGATTGGTGGTAGAAACATATAATAGTTTAAGCACTCCTTTTTGCAGTTTTTCCCTGATTAAATGGCAGTCTAGCTCGATATGCTTGGTTCTCTCGTGGAAAACTGGAGTCTCAGCGATGGCCATGGCTGATTTACTGTCAGCGAATAGAGCAGCAGGTGATTCAAGTTTCACTTCCAGAGAGTCAAGCAAATAATGCAGCCATTGAATCTCACATGATGCAGCAGCAATAACTCTATACTCAGCTTCTGAGGAGGACCTGGACACGGTTGGTTGTTTCTTGGACTTCCAAGAGATGATAGCTGATCCCAAGAACATACAAAAGCCAAACACAGAACGTCTGGTATCTGGACATGCAGCCCAATCTGATGAGTCAGTAAATCCCTTCAAACTGAGCTGGTTATCTGCTGGAAAGAATAAACCCTGAGTAGGATCACTCTTAATATACCTCAAGACTCTATGAGCAGCCTGTAGGTGAATGTCTGTGGGGCAATCCAAGAATATTGACAACTGCTGAGCTGCAAAACTGATGTCTGGTCTGGTGATGGTGAGGTACAACATCTTACCAACCAATCTTCTGTATTGAGTGATGTCAGCTAGGATTTTGCCACTCCCTTTTGTCAGTTTTGTTGAAGTGATCATAGGGGATTTAGCTGGTTTGCTATGCATGAAGCCAATGTTATCCAATAATTCCAGGGCATATTTCCTTTGGTTTATTGAGATCCCTTTCTTGCTTCTAGCAATCTCCAAGCCTAAGAAAAATCTGAGAGGACCTAGATCTTTGATTTGAAAGACACTGTGAAGATGCTATTTAATTCTCTGTATTTGCAACTTATCTGGGCTGGCTAGAACTACATCATCCACATAGACTAAAAGAGCAATGAAGGTGTCACCTATCCCTCTGATGAACAAGGAGGAATCTGTCACAGTCTGTTTGAAACCAAGCTGAATCAACTCTGCAGTAAGCTTGGCATTCCACTGTCTGCTGGCCTGCTTTAGGCCATAAAGAGATTTTGTTAATCTGCACATCATTCATGGTTTTGGAGCAACAAAGCCTGTTGGTAATGTCATGTATACTTCTTCATGTAGACCTCCATGAAGAAAAGCATTCTTTACATCTAATTGATGTAAATTCCATCCTTTGGCAGCAGCAATAACTAGTAAAGTCCTAATAATTGTGACTTTAGCAACTGGACAGAAAGTGTCAAGGTAGTCCAATCCAGTTGTTTGTGTATAACCTTTGGCCACCAGTCTAGCCTTGTATCTTTCAATGGTTCCATTAGATTTGTGATTTACTTTATACACTCATTTGCACCCAATAGTTTGCTTGGTGGGTGGAAGGTGTGACACCCCGAAATCCAAATTCAATTAAGGGATTTATTGAGTAATTAATCCTATTTCAATTTGTAATTTAATTCCTTAAATTCCTGAAATTTAATAGTTAGGGACTAGTAATTGACTAGTCAACGCCAAAGTCAAAGTTGTACATTGAGCTTTGTAAGGAGTTCCCTTGTTCCTTACACTTCCTTATGTTAGTAAGGGTATTCTTGACCTTTCACTTGTTGTTGGTATTGTAACCTAACCTAGTAGACCACCTTCATTCTCTCCTTACACTTTTCTAAAAATCTAGCTCCACCTTCTCTCTAAAAAGGTGAGTAGCTTTTCTTCCAAGCCAAGTTGAAGCTTTGCCAAAACTTCAAGAGTTGCTTCCAAGATTCAACCTTTCATATATTTGGGCATCTAGGAGGGTAAGATCTAAGTTCATCTTGTGTTTTTGGTTTTTATCTAAGGTGTCTTTTCTTAAAGATAGGATCTTTATAATCTTTTGGTATGTTCTTGAAGTGGGTTTGGAAGGTGAGCCTTGAGAGGAGCTTGTTGAGGTGTAAAGTGAAGTCTTTAGTCTACAAGAGGTAACCCATGCTCTACAAAATCTATTTTGCTTACCTATATGTGATTTCTTGGATTCTACATGTGTTTTGCTATGAAATGTGAGTGTTTATGCATTGTCTTGTGAAAATGCATATCTAGAGCTTGTGTTTAGGGTTCATTTGTGCCATTGCTTGGCATTTCCTTTGATTCAAGTCATTTTGTTGTATTTGGTGAGATTTGGCATGCTTTGGGCTTGAATTTGAGTTTGGAGAGAAAAATCCCCGAAGGGATTATTTTGTACAGGTATTTGTACCCGCGGGCGGAACGACGGGTAGAGCTCTAACCTGCCGCCCATCGCGAGTTTGGTATGCCTTCTTTATGCCCTGTTCCAACCTTATGGCTACCCCCAACCTTGTACCTTCAAGCCAACCATTACCTCCAAGATCCCCTGTACAGCCAAGTCCAACCTTGTTCCGCCGGGACCGTCGTCCCCCACCTATAACCACCAACGAACCACCACCAATCACGGCAACACATGCCCGGATAACACAATGTTATCCCCCAATCACGTGGACCCATCACTCAGGCCACAACTCCATAATCACGTCACGGCCACCACGATGACCGCTGCAATACCTTGGTGACTAGTGTCCCATACCACTAATCGTGCAATCCAGGTAGAGCCACACACGCACCACCACTCACACGAGAGTCAAACAACGGATTACAATGAAGGTATGAAACATACTCAATCAAGGAACGGGTCACAACCCAACGACAACAACGATGGATAACACAAGTTATCATCAACCAAACGGAAGGTACACACAACACACACGCTAGCATTAAGACAACAAACTAGCATGCTTATCAACGGGGAAACTCAAGATAGTTCCGAGGAACACACAAGACACCTCTTGGTCCAACGAAACACAATGTTGAACACTTTGCACGAATCAAGACACCAAAGTCCTACATGGATACCTAGCATATAGTTCTAGACCTATGAAACATCAAGAAGACACTCAAATAGTTCCACAGAAGAACAACGGGAAGTCAAAAGATCAAACACCAAGGCAACCAAATCACGGAGAACAAATCCCAACATCACCACAACCATGTACCCGCGGGTGGACCCATGGGTAGTGCCCCACCCGTGGGTCCCGCCTGCGGGAACAATATCCCACGAGGCCTGTACCCGCGGGTAGGCCGGCGGGTGGTGCCCCGCCCGCGGGAACATTCCTGTTCCACAACAAATCCCTTCGGGAATTTTCTTCTCCAAACACAAATTCAAGTCCAAAACATGCCAAATCTCACCAAACACAACAAAATGACTTGAACCAAGGAAAATGCCAAGCAATGGCACAAAGGAACCCTAAACACAAGCTCTAGATATGCAATATCACAAGATAAATGCATAAACCCTCACATTTCATAGCAAAACACAAGTAGAATCCAAGAAATCACATATAGGTAAGCAAAATAGGTTTTGTAGAGCATGGGTTACCTCTTGAAGACCAAAAGACTTCTCTTAACA